TTATTTATTTATTTATTTATTTATTTATTTATTTATTTATTTATTTATTTATTTATTTATTTATATATAATGGAAATGTTAACGCAAATAATGACGCATCAAAGTGTGCATCGGAGTGAATTCCTTCTCATCATGACCTGTGCATGTGCGTTAAATTAAGGCGATTTTAATACATATACATAAATACATATGCATATATAGACGGGTATAATCTCATGTTCAGGGGTCTATGAGAGAAAAACGAAATTTGACCCTTATCATTCGAATGGCCATCATAATGAGAAGGATAAAGACGATGTCTGGGGCCATGCGAAGCAAGTTCCAGTTGGCAGGATTCAGTAAATCAATCTACTTTGCAGCGATTTTCATTGCCGGTCCGGCCATGCCGCCTGGTTATGTTGTCTGAGAGACTGAGGCCCAAGGATCCAGGCGAACAAAGGTTTGCGGCAGAAAGTGTTGCCTCTGGCCGAGACGATTGTCGCAGGAGGCAACAGTCTGGCGCCACCTACAGCAGATTGACTGGCCTCGAGGTTTTCCAAATTGGAATTGAAGTCCACCTTCTGAAGGGGGCAGGAATGATGCTGCATGTTGTTGGTGTGAGGGTGGGGAGGCGGATTGTATGTCCAATACCAACAGCCACCTGTTAACGTGGGGCGAGATCGCAGAAAAGGTCAAAACGAAACGAGGAGGAGAAGACCGATTCGGTTGTAACCAACCGAGTTTTGTTGCATCGACATGACTTGACGGCGTGTTGGCAACTTGGAAGGTCTGTATGGCGGATGACTCAAAATTTCACGAATGATCTGATGAGCCTCAATGCAGTCGTCAACACGCAGAAAATAGAGAAAAGATGAACAGACGAGGCCAAAATAACTCTTGTCTCCGTCGGTTGACGGTGTCCAAAAGTACGATTATAAAGGGTACCAGTTTCAGCCAGTTGCTAGTTTGATGGAATGAAAGTCAGCCGACTATGAATAGAAACGAATGCTTGCCGATTTCTACAGGTCACCCTCGTTCGATGAGAATGTGTGTACAAAATATAAGTACTCCTTGCATAAAAAGCCTAGTTGATTGTTGAGCTTACTTCCATTTCGAGTGAAAGTGTTTGGTGAAGAGATTCGAAGCTCGACTCCACCCGAAGACGACGGCGGATTCCTCTTGACCGTCTTTCAATTGGTTTTACTGAAACATTAATGGGGATGCTGTTTCCGAGGCAATCTCCTTCGATTCCGGTGAAAAGGTGCTAAGCTTTCGTTCATCACATGACGAACATCATCAGAGCAAGGTATCATCCTCACAACCAAATTGAAGCTAACGAGTTTTCTCGACTCAGCCGGAAATTGGTTGTGACTATGATAACTTATTGTTAGGGGGAACTTCATTTCGAATGAAAGTACATGATGAAGAGATTCGTTTGTCGTT